CAGATTGGGGGACGTTCGGCCAATACAGAGGAGAGAGTCATATTGGAGGAGCGTTTCCCGCTCAATGCTCATGCTCAACAGCTGGTTGGTGTTGGTGATGGCTACAGACTCCCAAAGGATGAGGATGTCAACACACCTGAGCAGTCCGAGGCCGAGCCGGAGCAGCAGAGCAGGCGGATGATGATAATGATGATAATGCTGATGAGGAGGAAGCAGAAGATGAGGAATTGGCAACCTTCGAGGAGGAAGGCGATGACGAGGCTTGATCAGGCAGTTTTCATACACCCTACTTGTTATTTTTCTTGTTTTATGTATTTGAGTATACACTGAGGACATTGCATGAAATAAGGGTGGGGTGGTAACTTGTAAATATTATTCTTGTTTGAATTTGTAGTTTTTGTAGTTAGTGTCATCTTAGTTTAAAAAAAGAAGAAGATAAAAATGTGTAGTGTCGTCTTGCTAAGTAGAAAACATTGGACTCTTCCCGACGATGGATCTCCTAGACAGTTTTCTTGAGGGAATTAAGTCTAAAGAAAAAAACCAAAAAGATTTTCTTGTAGGTAGTGTAGTAATGCCCCCTTGGTTTTTCTTTGTGCCGCGGTTCTTTTCCAAGGGTTTTAGTTGAATCGGGTGTAGTTAGTTTTAATTTTTAAGAGTAGAAACCATTATGCTATGAATTGAATTGCAGCGATATCTCTTGACTTTATTATGCATTGAGAATAGTGAGTACTCTGGTTGTGACGCTTACGCTCAGTGTTTGACTCTAGTATAAGTACCTTAAATTGTAGATTCTTAAAATTGCTTAACTGCTTTGACTAGAGTGTCGTGATAAAACCAATCCTGAGTGAGTTATGTTCCATGTGTGTGTAAGGTTTGTATGTATTCTGTGCATTGCAGTTGATGTTTAGAACTTGCCCCGTGTGTGTGCAAAGAGAAACAATAGTCTTGTTCAGTCTGGGAAGTGATATAAGCGTTTCTTTATTGAGCCAGATATATATAGTTTACCCGCCTAAATATCATATAACGTAGTTAACCCCTTTGAGCCTATAATCCTGTTTCTTTGGTAATCACATTACAAGCCTTACCCTTTATTTGAATTGACCATATATTTGAACCTTGTCACCTCTCATGAGCACTTGAATTGTGATGAATTATGTAAAAGTTAAAGTGTGGGGGTGGTGGTTGGCTTTTGAGTGGAACAAATGAAATAAGGAGAAAGGTGTACCGTTTTGAAAAGAAAGAAGAAAAAAAATATATCAATAAAAGCCACTTGAAAAAAATACATATAGTTGTATTGTATAAAAAAAAAAAATTCTTGATGGTGGTGGCTAGTGATGTAATTGTGCTTAAAGAAGTATGGGGTAATATATATTGATATGAATGTGGAGTTTTGGTTTGACATAAGTATGAGTTTAAGTGTTGAAGTATATGTATTAAAGTGATTAAGGGAGGTGTAGTCACTCATCTAAATGTATCCTACCCGACCCGCAGCCTACATTACAACCAGTTAAAGTCCTACTTGATCCTAGACTGAATGAGCTCGATTAGTAGAGTATTACACTACGGGCAAGCCTATGGTGCATCATTTGTGGCATATGAATGTTATTTCTGAGAGCGAGTGAATTCTTCCTATCTTGAGTTCCTACGGTCTTAAAATTTATTGTGTGTGGAACTAATCTCTTTTGTTGTGTTAGGGCACGTTATTCATGATGGAGAGGTAATGTCGTTAACCTCCATGTTAGAGTAAGTAAGTGAATTATGAATAATGCATGGTATTTGTGAGTCAAATCTTGAGGTGAGGATGTTACATCTTTGTGCTTAGTATATTTTAAAGATTCTTGGTGTGACGAGTTAAGGTAATTGCTTAAAAAGGTCGTGTCTATAAGTGTAGTTTGATTGCTCGAGGACGAGCAACGTTTAAGTGTGGGGTATTGATGTTCGGCTATAATTTCATATTTTAGTACATTATTTACCTTACATTTTAGGTGCTTTAATGCCAAACTATACTTTATTTGCACGTAATATAGTCTATTTTATGTGTAGGTACATTGGAGATGAAATAAGAGCAAAGGGAAGATTTAAAGTATAAAGCGTGCTCGAAAACAGTTGGAAAGAAGAAAGAAAGAAGTGAGCAGCGGAAAAATGAAGAAGCTGGCGAGGCGAGCCTCTGAGCTCGCGTGGG